GGAAAATAAAGAAAATTAATTAAAATAAATTAATTAAATAAAATGACTAGAGAAAAACAAGAAAGGAGATGAAGCAGAATTAGTCAAAGCTCGTGCTACGCATGATGTCCTTAAAACGTATTTGTTGCCTCCCACGGTGCTAGGAGCGTTGCAACAATCGTTTCCCAGGATACGATGACTACGAACTAATGTTTGAGCACACAAACAAAAGTTCCAGCGAACGAGAACAATTCTGAACACTCAGGAAATTTTCAGAATGCTAGCAGTGTGTTTTTAGAGCTAAAACGTGTATGGATTCGTGTAAAATCGTGTAAGAACGTGTATTGTTGCAAACCACCTGCCAGCCATTATATAGGAGGATTTGTTGTGTGAAAATAGTGAATTAATGGACCTGAACGTTGGACATCAATGACCAGTCCGTTGGGCATTGAATCGTCCATGAACTGTCCATTTAACGCTGCATTAAAAGATAAGAACGTTGAGCATTAATTGTTGTAACGTTTCAGAAGTGCGACAGAAGACCTCCATCAGAACACCCCGGAAGGGGTTCTGATCGGAGGCCAATCAGAAGACCCCAACTCTGATCCGCGGCCATCAGAGTACCCCCAACTCTGAATGGCGGCCATTAGAATACCCCATGAGGGGTTCTGCCATCAAAACACCAACGAGGTGTTCTGATCCGTAGACTTCTGCCGCTGGGAAAAAATTAAATGTTTCGGGAAGAAAACAAAAATTAATCGGCCCACGTGACCGGTCGCATTCGTGTCCGCAGGTCGCCCGCGCACGCAAGTCGCGGTTTTTCTTCTCCGAATTCGGGATTTGATTTGCACCCCCCTGCGCGCGTGGAGAGAGCCTTTACCCTTAAGAATCTTAACTCCATAAGGGGGGAGTCCCTTTATAAAGGGTAGCAAATCCCTTGGGTTTTCCGGTGTGGGAAATTAACACACTAGAAACCCATCCTTTTTCCCTTCTAAGTTCTAACGGGTAAACTTCGAAAAGCGATTTCTCATTCACCCGTTATCCGTTTTGAGCGTACCATATATCGAATTGTAGCCCTTAACAAGGACAATCTGAAACCACTTTGACCCGACCCAAATCGAAAGTGGACCCCACTCAAAAAATTGCCCCAAAATAGCCATTTAATGTAAACATAAAAACACAAAATTGTAAACATAAAAACACAAAATAAAAGTATATTGTTTGTATCAAAATTTGTCTACATGGTCCATCACAAAAAACATCATAATGTCTCAGATGGAATAATATTAAGACCGTGTATTTTTTTTTATAACAAATTTTATCTACACGCTCCATCTGAAAAAAACATCATAATGTCTATGGTGGAATTATATCATACGGTCATGCTGATTATTTTAGTGTGGGGTTATGGGTTTGACCGTGGGGGATCTATTATTTAAACTTCAAAAATAATCAAAGTTCATTCTCATCCATTATTAACTTATACGGAGTAGTTGAATTCATTCTAAATTAAAGGTATACACTTTTATAAATTTTATTGGGAAAACTGTCAAATAGGTCCTCGAACTTTCATAAAAAGGTCAATTAAGTCCTTCTACAGGAGGTTTTGTCCGGCCGTCGCGATTTGGGGCGGTTCCCGGTGGAATTTTTTGATGAAATTTTTTGAGCATCTTATTCACCAAGTCTAGTTTACTCATACCAAATTTCAGCTAAACATTCAATCGGGAACACATTCAAATTAATTCTTGAAGATAACTGCGCATTTTTGCGTTCTCGAATTAATTTGAATGCGCTCTCGATTAAAGTTTTAACTGAAATTTGGTATGAGTAAATTAGATTTGATGAATAAGATGCTCAAAATAATTCATCAAAAATTTCACCGGGAACCGCCCCAAATCACGACGACCGGACCGAGTCTCCTATAGAAGGACTTAATTGACTTTTTTATGAAAGTTCGAGGATCTATTTGACAGTTTTCCCAATTTTATTTATTTTATGTCCATATAAGATCAGTGGAGGACCTAGGGGAGGTTCTATGGGGGCAAGTGCCCCGCTTCCGACCCCGAAGTTTAAGATTAATACTTAGAGATAAAAATTGTGACACCGCTACGCGGCCATAAAAACTAGAGATTATTTCATAAATATAACCGAAGTAAAACTAATGGACATAAATATTACTACAGTAACTATGCATAGTCACTATATTGATAGATTGAACACAATCATGGTCACTAAAATTACCATTGTAGTTACCAAGTCTTATTGTTGTCCACTATCTTTATTGCAATCATATTGCCATTATTTCAAAAAACTCTAAGCTATATAGGACTCCATTGAAGACATAACAATGGTAGTAAAATATAGTATGATAGTATAAATTATAAACAACCACGACGTTGTGATAGAGCAAATCCTTATAGTTAGACATGTTCTTGATATGGTTACTACACTTTATTTGAAAATTGACATTGATGATTTTCTTACTTAGTGTAAATAATGTTTGTCCAAAGTTAAAGGTCAAAGATGTGACAAGTGTTCTAATATGTAGGATGAACTTAATAGATTGAAGAGTTTTATCTTGAATAAAAGTTCATACATGAAAAAATGTGTCAATTCGCGATAAATTAGTTTCAAACCAACAGACTCTTTGAGTCTTTTATCTATAATATGATAAATGTTAGATATATAGAATCATATTATTAAATAAAGTTGTATTAAAGGATGAAATCATAAACATGACTTATACTTCATTTTTAACACAATAGTTTTATATTCCAGACAAGTACCAACAAATTTTGTGCCACAATGTGTAACATTCGACATGATTCTAGTTCAAATATGAAATCTTGATCATTTTATAGTATGAAAAATAATGAGAATTCCGATGTAAAATCAAAATTATACAAGTTGAACGAGAATTCAACGAGAATTCTTTGTGGCGCATATATATTGTTTAGTTCAACGAGAATTCAACGAGAATTCATTTTATATATAATATATCTGATCCAAATTATATCTTTCTTTTAAAAACCCATATATTGTTTAAAATTGTCTAAATAAGTTCAAAACTAGACTTATAATCCATTAATGTTCATTGCTTGAAGCCGGCATTGAATAATCTATTTCCAGATAAAAATAATAATTTGAACGCACTTGACAAAAAAGACTAATGATACACCCGATTCGATCCAACCCGATCCATTTCCATCTATGCGAGAGTGCCCCCACTTCAGAAAAGTTCAGGATCCGCTACTGTATAAGATGATAATAATCCGTACATATTAAGATATTTTCAAACTAGAAAATATGACTTGAACAAATTTCAACAAATCAAATTAGACACCAAAAAAGTAGACCATAATTAGATAACACTAATACACACATAATATTAGATGGACTTCACTAGTTTAGACCATGCTACCTAGGTCTAGGATTAAATTTCTTATTGAAAGTTGCACAATTACATAAATAATAATTACATAAGGTTATCTGTGTATATTTTGAAAAGTTGTTTTGATGGTAAATGCGATGTCATAGGTGTACTATTTTTAATACTTGATGAAATTTTCATTTAAGACGCTAGTTCTTTCCTAAAATAGAAATGAAAACCCTTATCTAAGACGTCTAAAAGACACAAGTTAGGAGCTAAAACTGGGAGGGAAAATTTGATTAACTCCAAGTCTGGTTCGAGGGCTGACGGTTGTTTGTGGTTCCTTACTTATTTTACTCCCTTTCCGAATGTTAATGCTTTGATTTCAATATAAGCTCCCCTCTTCCAAAAAATATACAATAAATATCGATTCTTGAACCAATTTTTATCCTCTCAAACCATTTTTAAACCGATTAATATTTGACACCAAATTCAGGATCCCGATAAATCAATTTGATTTCAGTTCGATTATCCTGATCAATTTGATTTTTTTTCCCGTTTTGAATTTCATTTTAAGAGCCCGTTTGGTAGCACGGAAATCGGCTGATTCTGCTGAAATTTATGAAATTCTGGCGGAAGTGACTGTATTGGCTGATTTTGCTGATTTATGAAAAAATATTTTTAAATTATATTTTAATAATAAAAGAAAAAGAAAAAATATATGTAAAAATAGTTAAAATGACCATCTTCAGTAACTTCAGCCAATACAGCCAGAAAAGTAACTTCAACCTTACTTTTTCTGCTTATTACACAATTCAGTGCGCGAAAGCAAAAGTTACGTGTTTGGCGAAAAAAGTGGCTGATAAACCCGATAAGCCGAAAAACAGTGTTGTCAAACGGCTTCTAAAATGTCAGACCTAGTCAAGAGATTGCAGAAACATTGAGGTGGATGTTGGAGGTTGATTTTTTTTTTTTAATATTATTAGAGTTTTGGAATTCTTTAGCCATTTTTTTTAAAAAATAAAAATTATTCATTTTTTATTACTCCCTCCGTCCCAAATTGTTTTGCAAATTCAACAATTTTTGGTCAACCAATAATAAAAGTCAACTCTCCTTATCGATAATTAATTCAGTTTTTAATCATTAAAACTTACATATTCGAAAAATACATTAAAATCTCTTCAAAGATGTAATCTCCAAATTATAATATAACTAAAAATAGACATCATAATTAAGCAAACAAAATGAAACTGTTTGACCAAGAAAAGTCAAATTTGCAAATCAATTTGAGACGGAGATAGTATAATTTTTTTTTCATTCAAAAAAAACTTAGTCCCGTTTAATTAACGGATAATAACGTTCAAATTGTGATATAACGGTTGAGCTTCGAAATTTGAAGACCCACCATTTATTGAAACAATGAAGATACAATATGGCAGAATTAATAAAGCTTAGTGATTAGCATTGATTTGGAGAATTAAAAACACTATTTTGGAGAAAGTAGGTTATGAAGCATTTCAAAATGCTTCAAAAAAACATGTAATGACAAGGGCATTATGGTCCACTAGTTGACAAGTGGACAATTTCGTAAATTCGGGCACTTGAACGCCTCCGGGTTTTTTTCCTTTAAAGCGCTCCACTCTCTCTACAGTTTCTTCCAGTTCCACCTGCATTTGTCTTCTTATTATCAGCTCTCTCTTTTCCTCTGCACTTCCCGATGGTGAATGAGTTCATGGTGTGCGTGGACAGGATCATCATAGCGTCATCAGCTGCTTATTGCTTCGCCGGAGACTCTTCTCCGGCCAACGGGGCGGAGACCCTCTTGAGAAATGCGGCGGTCTCAGTCGGCAGCCCGCCGGCGGAAGTGGCCATCAACGCTTCTGGTCATGGGTTTTGCAGCGGTGGTGGGTTTGGTGGTGAAGGATGCTCAAAGGGCGGTGGGGGTGCAGTGAGGGAGTGTAGGATTTGCCAAGAGGAGGATGAGGAGAAAGACATGGAGGCTCCCTGTGCCTGTAATGGCACTCTAAAGGTCTTTTCTTTCGTCCTTTTTGTGTTTCTTGTTTTTTGAAATTTTGAATTCTACCTCCTGGAAACATGAAAAACAGAGTATTACGTGTTTTTAGCATCACGCTTTTTGTGCTTTCGTTCATTTTATGAATAAATTCCTGCTACTAATTGCCCAGCCCCACTTTAAAATAAATTTCATGTCTTTATTCGGTTTCTCGCACTTTATTTAATTTTAAATATGAAAGCTAATTTGAAATTTTAAATTTGAGCCCGGAATGAAGCGATGAAGAAATCCTTTCCTGAACTGAATAGGGTCCCTTTTTAATCATTTCTCTGTATTTTCCATGGATTGTATGGGTTCTTAACTAGAGAAAGTTGGTGTCTTCCCAAGCCCCCACCCCACCCCTCAAAATCTAAACTTTGGTTATTTTCTTAATTCTTGAAGCCCTCCGATCATGTTTTCTTTAGATTTTTTGAATTTTCCTTTTTTGACGGGAAGAATTGGAGTGGTCTTTGGCATGCTCATGGGTTTTCTGCTTCATATATATTGATGATGTCTGCATATTAAATGCTGAAACAGTCAGCTACCTTAGGGGCATTAATTGTGCTTTCTGGGAGGATACTGTCCATATTATTTATGATTTTATCCATTTTTGTTTTGTTTTAGAAATTCAATTTATATTCTCTACATATGTCTTAGATTTGTTCATATTAAAGTTTTCCAGATGAAATATTCTCGTGCCAGAATAAAAATAAGATATACTGCGTCTTTAAATTTGATTTTTTGGAGATAGAAAGGTCATTTTGCAATATCCTTTAATATGTGTGAGTATATCTAAAACTTTGATTAATATGAAAGGGAGGTGTAAACGCATTCCAATTGTGTGTGGTCAACAAACTTTGTTAGAGTTGTCATTTTTGAAGGTCTTCACCAAAGCGGTCTTGAAATTGACTTTTGTGCTGCTTTTACAGTTAGGGTTGGTTCTTTTGAGCTCTGCTTATACAAAAGCATATCTTTTATCAAGTATGAAACAACTGATGCTTTTGGTTTGGTTATGTGTGTAGTTTGCTCACAGGAAGTGTATTCAGCGGTGGTGCAATAAAAAAGGTGACATCACTTGCGAAATCTGTAATCAGGTCTAAACCTCATCAATTTGATATTGAAACCTTCATTCCTTCCTTAACCAAATATAAGCATCAATGTGATTTGTGTCTTTTAAATAGGTTTTCTCACCAAACTATTCTCTCCCACCAGCAAGAAGCAATCCTGACGTTTTTGCCATCGATATCGGGTACCTGTATTATGTTATCATCTAATTAAAGCTGTTTACTTTACTAAATTATGCTTGTTGTGTTTCTTTTGACACCAACTCTTGTGGCTCGTTGCTTGTTTGACTAGATGATTTTGGAGGGGAGGGGAGGGAATGGAATGGGTGATATACAGAGTATATTTTTATTTTAAAATAATGTCTACATTTAGGTGGTTGGATATAAAGTGATGATAAAAAACTACTATCTACCTCTTAAAAAATAAAACATGTTCTCACTTTATTTTGATTTCCAAAATGAAGTTCTCATTCCTAAAAAGAAAATTTGAAGTAGAGAAATATCACTATTACCCCTTACTTTTGCTCAATCTAAAATAAAGTAATGGTGTACCTGGAAAGTCAATAAAAAATTATTTTTACATAAAATTGTGTAGGTCAAATTAGGAATTTATTTTTTTGATGAATGGAGAAGGATATAGAAATAGATGGTCTAACTAAGAACATATTTGTTCTAGCGTAAAACAATACAATAACAACATCCAAATATTAATTATAAAAGAGTTTTGGGTCAGGCCGACATGAATCTTCATATGACATCAGAGTTAAAAATAATAAATTAGCATAAGAAAAATCCACCACCTTCTCTTTTCTCCAAAGTTCCTAAATGCCTTTAATATCTTATAATGATATGAACTACTGCCTGTGGTTGGGCACTGATATAATGATTAAATCAGGGGCGTATCTAGGGCAATGGGCCGGTACAAGCATTTCTTTGATAAATTTTTACACGAATTTTTTTATACTAATAAGTAAGCCATTTTTTTAAGTTTGGGGTGGATCAGGGACTATGTTGCCCTCCCTAGCTCCCCCAGTGTGTGATGTAAATGAGACGATATGAATGCTAGGAATCTAAGACTGTAAGAGAACAAGTGTAGTGAAAGAGTAATATTTGTCAAGTCCATCAGGATGTCCAAGTAAATGTTGTAGTGGACTGTCCAAGTGTTTGTGTCTAACATGGTTCTTGGTCAAACAAAAGCAAGAAAAAAATGAATGGAAAAACAAGTCTGCAATACAAAACAGCAAGTAGAGTCCAACAAAAGAGGTAACCTAGGCTAGCGGGTCTTCTTAGGCTATAGGCTACAAAACAGCTTTGGGCTCTGAGATTATTATTTGTTAGTAGATGCACTATTGTTGTCATACCTCTCCAGATCTCAAGTATATTAAGAGCTGGTTTGGCAACACTGAAGTTAATTGAATTTAGTGATATTCTTGCCGGGCTTAGTGAATAGTGAGAATTATATTTAGAATATGTTACATTAATCATCTAAAGAAAAACAATATGGTAAGAAAAACTAAAATGGCCCTATTTTGACCTTACTTATTTTGTCCTTAAACTAATTCAGTGTGTCAAATAACCAAAGAGTCTACCTTCAATTTTTTGCCACAAAAAAGAGTCTACATTCATTTTTCTCCAAAAATGAGTCTTGTTTAATGATGTCATCCGGAATTTTTGGACGCGATTTTCACTATGGGTCATCCGGAATAAGTCTCTCTGTGCTTTAGTACAGGGGTAAGACTGCGTACATCCGACCCCCCCTTATCCCACCGTAGGTGGGTGCCTTTGCGGCACTGAGGTAAATGAAAATGAAATGAAATTAAAATGGCTATTAATTGCTTCAACCACAACTAAATTTATCACTCCACACACTATTTTTGGGATCCTTTTGATATGCTGTTTTAACAGCTTGATTTTGCTTTATTCATTTTCAGCCAAGCTTGGGGTCCAGGTTTCGACATTCAGGACCCACGTTTCTTGGCCTTTGCCACTGCTGAGCATCAACTCCTCCAATCTCAATATGATGAAGACTATGCCACCATTGCTAGTAGCAGCAGCCTGGCTTGCTTACGCTTTGTTGCTATTGTTGTAAGCTCGAAAAAAGAAATATTGTTGAATGTGTTTACTCTTTTCTTTAGTGTATATAGTAGTTACTATGCTGAGACTTGGAAGTGAGGCTTTTCAATATGTGATATGACACAGTTGATGGTACTCCTGTTACTACGGCAGATGCTGATCGTTGCAGCGGACTTTCAGATGGTTAGAGAATCACCATCGTCTTTTATCAATGTAGGTGCACAGTAAAGCTTCTTTCTTTTGGAGGGTGACTAGAAATTATCCCTTTCTTTAATTGTTGAGGCTCTTTTTGATTCCAGGAAAATAACTTGCAGTGGCAAATGTTTTCCTGGACTTCTTTTGGGATTGTTTTTTCCCACAGCTAAATACAGGGCCTAAGCCTAAAAACCATTTTCCTAAAAAGTTCTGAATACAATAATACAAGAAAATGTACTAGTGAAAACAAACAGAGCCCGAATGAAAGTTCACGTTTGTTTGCATAAGATAAGAGCAATATTCTACCCCCATATATAATGCTTTTGGTAAATAACAGTTCCAAATATCACTTCTGCAACTGGCTGGCTTTCTTCTTCCCTGTTACGTGATGGTACGGTCGTGGTACGTTGTGCTTTGCCGAAGACGAAGGCAGGTTGGTTATCAATTTGAGCTAGCTTCATTCCGAAGTTCATTTTATGATTTAATGTTTTATTCCTCAGTTCATTTCATATTTTTAATGTTTTATTAGCTGATATTTTTTTAAAAAATTAAAAACTGTATATATTTAGTCTTAATTTTTCTTTACTTTTTTTCCTTTTCAGGGTTACTAAAGTTGGTCCACTGGAGGCAGAAATCTTAGGGATCTATCATTTTATTGGAGGACTCTATATAGAATATAGAGTTACATAGATGAACTCTGAATCAAATGTACATGTGAAACAAATGAGTTCATCATGGAAGTGTGACTACCTTGTTCCTGTTCAACATAAAATAATGCTTGCAATTGTTGGTCAATGGAATTCCTAGTCATTATATTAGCCAGCTCACAAGAGTTATTCGGGAAAGATAAGTGGTGGACCGGGCCCCGGGTCGGGTCTTGGGAAGTCAATTTTTTGGGGGATTAGGCCCATTACTGGCCCGGGTTGGTTCCGGGACCAAGCCGAGCTTGGGCTGGGTCGGGTCTTGTATTTTTTTTGGGGGGTTTTCCTTATTTGTTCCTAACCCCCCCCCCCCCCCACTCCACCCTACCCCCCAAACACCCTCAAACCACTAAGCCCAACCCGCGTACCACCCAATCCATTCGGGAAAAAAAAACATTTTGGGCCCGGACTGTTCGGTTCCAAGAGGGCTATAGCTCGTGACCCGCCCCAACCCCCCGGTCCGGGCCCCAGTCTCGGGCCTGGTCCATGCCTAGGAAAGATGTAAATAAAGAATAATAGGAAGTATGGAGTATGTTACTATCGAGTAGTTGCATATTTATAATTAAATTAAATGTTGTTTATAAAAATGTGACCTTTTAAGTGTCACATTTTATAATTAAGTAGTTGCATATTTATAATTAAATTATCGTAATATCTATAATTGTAATAACTTATACGGAGTATTTGATTATGTGATCATGACACTATACCATAATAACTTTACGGTAACTGTTACTCTAAAATCAAATAACAGAGAAGAGCATAGAATAAAATGAAGGCAACCTTGCAACAAACTTTAGCAACAAACTTTTGTCACTTACAACTTTCATTAGCAAATCAAATCCCCTAAACAGATGAGGAACCACAACCCCATGTCTCCATGGAAACTCTCAAAGAGGAGACCAAAGTAAAATATCACATAAAACCTATACATATATTTCTTACATGAATATCCATTCTATCTCATAAAACTTGGCCATATAATAATTTAAATTATGAAACTTATAGGGAAATACTCTTTGTTAAAATTTTACTTTAATAAAAATATAAATGTTATAAAATTTTCACAAACATAATAACTAAAATCACTGTTCAAAATATATGATGGTTGCACTACTCTATTTTTAGCCCTCCTTTAACTGTCAGACTATCCCATTTTTTAAAATGTTGATTCATAACTCTAATATAAACTTTTAAATTGACCATTTTATAACTTCTTGTAGGCTAATATTAGAGTTAATTAAAACAATGTAACACTAATCATTCGTGTAGTTTAAAATAAATTTTAACATCCCTCTAGAAATTAAAATTAAATTATTTTTTCTTAAATGAGAAGATAAAGAATTTAAGGAAATATATTAGTCAGGATTATCTCATTGTGAAATGGAGATTAGTATGATCGCTGAGAGAAAGAAAACAACATAAATTACATGGATGAAAATTTTTTTGCAGGGTCATAAAACAAAAAAGACTATACACAATATTTACATGGATTAAAAAAATATTTTCTCCTATGGACGTAGGAATGATACATACAACTAGAGTGGCATTCAAAGTACTAGTCTTTTACCCGTGCGTTGCACGGGATAATAGACTAATTATAAAGTGTCTTGACAATGCTAAAAATAAGATTAAAAAGATTAAATTTTTTAAAGATACAGCAACTTGTACATTCAAAAAAACAACTTGTAAATGACCTATTTCAAATAAAGTTCTATTCTCTTTCATTGATGTGTTAAGAAAGCTTTAGAGAGAAGCAAAAAAAAACATGCCACATATTGCATTTTATCTCTTAGTGTTATCACTAAGTTCTTCGGTAAATAGACCATAGCACAAAGAACACCAACGTGTTCTTTTAGAAACAAAAGTGGAATCTTATTATACGCAGTTCTTTGGTAAATATAAATTTGGTCGTAGTCTTCATACACACCTCAAAGAGACTATACTCGTATATTACAGAATTATTTCCACTTTGTTGCGAACTCCTGTGGCGATTAAGTCACTTCCCGTGTCGGTGAAGAACTGCTGGGTTTCCAATTTTGGTGCTACAATCAGGGCCGGTTCTGGGGGGAGGGCAACAGGGACGACCGCCCTAGGCCCGAAAAAATATAGAAGAAGAAATAGGCCCAAAATCTTTTCTTTGTATATTGTGTGAGTAGGCTTCTTATTTTATTCTTAAGGTCAAATAATTAGTCCCAATGTTTAATCTTATTGAAAATTTGAAAATTTAAAACATATATTTATTTTTTAAACAAAGCCAAGTTTAAAAAAGAATTTATATACACTAATTTAACTTTAAGTAGAACTGGTTTTAGTTTTTAAAAGCAATACAACTGTTGTTGGATCAATAAAAGACATTTCTCGTCACTTTTCACATCTCTTTAGCCTTTAAGGCTTTTTATTCATTTTAATTATAACATAATAAATTTATATAATTATTTTAGAGCCCATGGCTCCCAAATCTCATCCCAATTATTTATTTGTTTCCAAATTGATCGAAAAAATTATATCTGAGCTCATAATGGAGCAGTAGTTAAAGAGGACGACAAATTGACAATCTTCTTGGCGGCCAAACATTTTGTCTCTTTGAAAACCTTCATTCTTTCGAGACCTTAAGCTTTAAATTCTTAGCGGTCAATAAATCATTCTCAACTTATAAATTCAATATGTAGTAATATTTATTTTCATTTATCTTTTCAGTTGTAACTAAAAGAAAGGTTAGTGTTGTTAAATGTGATATTTTTATTGTTTGTCATCCTTATTAGTGGAAAGAAGATTGACATTTTTTGTCATTTATCCTGCTAAACACTCAGCAGAATCTCAAATTAGATTCATGTTATGCATTTTTAAGAGCATTTCTATCATTTGAAAAGTAGTTTTAATACTCCGTAGTTTGAGGAACTAAAAGTTACATGTGAGCCGATATGAAGAAGAAACACATAGCATCCAGATTATGTGTATGAGTTTTAGTCAACATCTAGTTTAACATCCAGAAACTCACTTTGCTTTCCAAAGTGTACGTATACTTGAGAACGGCCACCTAAGTACCAATAACACATTTATAAACATTACCATTATAGAGTATACGCGTAATATAATGCTACACCTAATTATTATAGAAATGCATAAACTGGAACCTTTGACATCAACAATAATAAAAACAAATGTGCAATTTGGCCTTAGCAAAGAATGGTTAAACAAATGTGCAACTTGAGGATAATAATTGGTTCCAAATTTTCAGAATGATATTTATATGTATGTTGGCTTTTGAAAACTCGTGACCTTGTCAAATTACTATTATCCTCAAGACCTCAACCAAACATGCTACTTGATTGGGAAATGGTTAGTACTTAGTACATATCCATCTCACAGAGAGAGACACAATGAGAGAGAGATTATAACTTTGGGTATGATTTATATAGACTAAGAGTATGGTTTTGAATCATGAGTTTTAACAAACTTGTTGGGATTGGATCAAGTTATCTCTCTTGGTTTGTTCCATTTCGAAGTTAATTACCAAAATAAACACAAATCTTCCCCCTGTTTAAATGCAAAAAGAGAATTAAAAAACATGGAACAAATTCTTAACTTGGTATCAAATAGAAAAATTATCAGTGACCATTAGCAGTATACGTTTTGCAAGCTCTATTTAGTCATGCAAAACAATCATATGTGCATTGTCACATGAAGTTAGGGGTGGACCCGATTCAATTTAAAGCACTACATAATTTGCTTGATTATCTGCCAATGTCTCCAGTGATGTGTGTGCACCTTGGATAGCATGTTGAACCTGTATACTTTCAGTTTCAATGATAAATTAAAACCTGGGAATATGTAGCAAGCAGCGAGAATTTTAAAAGTTCTATCACGGTCATTTATATTAAGGATGTTTGTGCAGTGAGCAATGTAGGAACCTGTAGCGTCTCTAAAATCCATACCTGTACGATATAGAGAATCTTTAATATCTCTAGAAGCCATATTGATTTTCAAGTGATGAACATGGGATTTGATCCAACAATCATGCTTAAGGTTGAAGATTTTCTAGATGAGGATGGTGCAAATATTATAAGGGGGATGTTGTTATATTGCAGGTAAGGGGGGAACAACCAAAATATTAAACAGATCTCTAGTTATAGCAGTAATGGCCTCAAATTTAGATAAAAAAAAAATTCACCATACAAAAAAATCTTTCTATTTTTTCAAAAACTGTAGTCATCTGGTTAGGGATAGTATGGATAATATCTGAAACATTACCATGGTAACCAATATACCAGTTCTGTAAGAAACTACCAATGGTAGCATGGGGCAGAGAGTTAAAGTTGAGCACGTAAGCATTTAAATGCTGCCATAAATCATAGCATTTACAAACCAAGCGTGATTGTAAAAGGAAAGGACCTACAAAACCCAGTTTATGCAGCTTAGTTTGGAAAGGTAAACCCGTAACCGTTTATTTTTCAGCCTATACATGAAAAAAGAAATTTTCTTAGGAGCTTTAGAGTTCCAAATGTAATTAGCCGTGGCCGGTTTATCAGTTTTATCTCTTGTAACATCATAGGCACCGCTAAAACCTCCATTAATATTAGGCTTGCAAATATTCCAAATAAGATGACCAGGGGACTCATTAAAAGTAATAGGAACCATATTATTAGTGATATGAGTAGACAATACCTGCTGAAGATCATAAATAAGCTCACCCTTCCATTGATTTGGAATATCTTCCACCGTTAGACAGAGGGGCCCATAACCATTCCAATTAGAGAAGCAAAAAGAGGAATTCCCAGTATTAACAAACTGATCAAACACCCAGAGTAAGCATGGTGTATACACACATACCAAACCTCACATTTTATTAATGATAAAATGTAAAATGCATCAAATTATTTGCACTCAGTGAGATTATATAAATGTTTACTTTCAATTTAAAATAACTTTTGGAAAATAAAATTGATAAAAATATATACTCCACCATAATCCTAAATATGTGTTTGTAAGCAGGCCTCTGTTCCAGAAAGAAAGGTTTACTATGAACACATAATAAGCCATCAAAAAGTGTTAAAACCTTTTGAGCTTCTCCTAAATATGAAAGGACTACCTTTCTGTCATAATCATTTAAAAACATTAAGTATGGAAAATAGTTAAAGAGAAAGTATTTAATCCGACATTAAGATCCAATGAAGTAGCATCTAGGTTCCCTTCTTTCAAAATCTGAGAATGATGCATATACCTATGAAGTTTGCTGTATGTATAAATGCATTAATTTTTCATCAATTCAAAGCAAGTGAAGTATAACATACAACTACATTAATGGAGTTATGGAACTAAATCTCTATTTATAATCAAATATCAATTTATAACTAAATGTCTTTTTATAACTAATTCAAACTTCCTTTTAAATACATTATAATCAACTACTCCTATTTATTTCTGGGTGAATGAGTGGCAACATTTCCAGTGCACCAATACCATCAAAAGTAGTGTTGTTTTCTCTTTTGATCTTATCATTATGGTGTGGGAATCTTACACAAAAAAAGATAACAACAAATTAAACAAAAAATTGCACCTACTTATTGCTATCATTTTTCTATAAAACCATTGCCTGTGAAGAGAGGAAATAATTGAAGGGGAAAACTGCACTTTTCTTTTACGTGAACATTTCCGGTAAAT